GCCCCGCCCCGCGGGGGATCCCGGGCGCGCGCGGGCGGCGGGAGCGCGCCCCGGACGCGGAAAGACCGGGCCTGCGTCACCTCGCGTCGCGCGGGTGACAGCTCCACCTGGCGCTAGACACGGAGGTGACCGCCCTCCTCCGGGGTCGGCGGGCGTTTGTTTCCGTGCGCGCTCTGCCCGGGCTTTAAGTCCCGGGCCTGTCACCCCGAAGGCTTGCTGCTCTCTGGACCCTTCGTGGCCTGGTGCGCGCCGACCCGGGAGGTTGCCCCCAACTATCCCCTGCACAGCTTGAGAGCCGCCAGGCGCTCACTCAGAAATTGAACTGGGATGAAATGGGTCCTGACCGGCGACTTGAACTAGGAGGCTAGCAAGTTCTAAGGTTCATGGGCTTAGTTGGGGTGGTCAGTGATTTGCAATTGTGTCACTTCACTTTTTTCTCTAATGGTGGTAAAATTCATGTACTATACAGTAAAACTACCCGTACTAAGGCATGCAGTTCAGTGCCATTTAGTGCATCGACAGTGTTGTGCAACAATTGCTTCTGTCTAGTTCCAAGAGATTTTTGTCACTCCCAGAATAGTAACAGAAAATAAAATAAATATAATAATAGTGTGTTTAATATGTTCAGGGTGACTAGTGGCAGGGGACCTCTATGTGGCTTCAGAATAGGGACTGATTGATCCCAGAATTACCACTCCCAGAATAATAATAAAATAAGGCAGTGGTACCTTTGAGAGGGCTCTCCCCAGCTGCCACCCTCCCAGCCCCTGTTAAACACCCTTCGGCATCTGTCTCCATGGAGGCAATGCTTTTAGTTATTACATCTAAATGGAAGAATTTATGTGAAAATGGCTTCGTTGCTTAGTGCGTTGCAGAAGCCCGCTGTAGCTGGCTCCTCCTTTCTTTCTCAGGACTGAAGAACATTCCACTGCATGCACACACCACGGTTTCCTCATGCCTTCATCCCCTGGATGGACTCTGGGCTCTTTCTGCCTTTTGGCTGTTGTGGATATGCATGAACATGTTTTGGGGTACTTGTGTTCATTCTCGAGGGACACAGACCTTTAGCTGAGTTCCTGGATCACACAAATATACAGCGTGCAACTTTTTGTGCCACTGAACAGTTTCCACAGGGCCAAACCAGTCTGCAGCCCCACGCCAAGGTGTGAGGAGGGTTCCACTCTCTCTGCATCCTTACCAGCGCTGTTTTCTTTTTGTGATTTGACCCATCCAGGGCGCTTGCAGAGAGGCAGCTCCTTCTGGCTTTGGTTTGCAGCTCCATGTATGTAATTATGTGAGCGTCTTTGCCTATGCTCCTGGGCATTTGTATACCTGCTTTTGCCCTGTGGCCTCTGGGGCTGACTGCAGGTCAACAGCATTGGAAGGGAACTGGCTTGGGAGACACCAGGGGGTGTCCCAAGAATGGGAACATTGCGTGTTGGGGTGGAACACAAGCCACACACATTTGGCGGCAGAAATGTGGGAGCAGCAATTCATAGAAATGTCCCCTTATTCTATTTCTTGGTAGATCCTGAGGTTTGTTAGTGGGGTTTCTTCTCTGGTTTTGAGGGTGTTTTGTTTTGTTTTGTTTTGTTTTGAGACAGGGTCTCACGATGCAGTTCAGGCTGGCCTTGAGCTCACTTTACAGCCCAGGCTGGCCTCGAATTCGCAGTTATCCTCCTGCCTCAGCCTCCCGAGTGCTGGGGTTACAGGTGTGCACCACCACACCGGCTCTTCTGCGGTTCTGCAGACTGCCTTCTTTCCTGGGTGTCTACCTTGAGGTCTCCGCTGCTGTCTCTACAGCCAGTCTGAGGCGGCACCGACTTCCTTAGCCATCTGAAGACACTGCATAGACAACGCAAGGAAGCACTGCCGCAGACTGGCTCTGCACAGGCGCTCCTCCGCCCCTTGCTCGAGCCCCTCTTCCTCCCTGAGATTGCACCTGCCCCCCACGTGGATCCTGGAGATGGCCAACGGTGTGGGTGCAGGGCCTCCTTCCTCCGCTCTCAGCATGAGCCCAAGGCCGAGCCCTCTGCCCCTCTTCCCCAAGCCTCCCTCCCACCTTCCTCCTCATGGGTGATTCATCTGTCTGAGGCCAAGCCAGACAACTCTGGGGGGTACGTCTTCGAATGCTTTTGACACATTAAAAAAAGAGAGAGAGATAAAAAGCCAGGCATGGCTGAGGCAGGAGTTCAAGAGTTCAAGACCAGCGTGGGCAGAGCAGTAGCACTCACCACGTCCATGGAGGCCCTGGATTTAATCCCTAGCCTTAAACAGCAGGACAAAGGCACAACCACAGTGATTTGAGAACAAAGTCCCAGGACAAAGAAGCCACAGCAGGAAGCAGGCGTCTCCTGGGCTGCCACTGAGAAGGCATCAGGACGGTGACCGGTAAGCAAAGACCTGGGGGCTGCAATACACCACTGAGGTTCAGCCTCCTCCACGAAGCACGCCCCTCGCCCAGCTTGCTACATGTTTTTTAAATTAGAGCCCAGAATTCAAAACAAAAAGCCAGCTATTACTTTCTCCTGCCTAATGGTTGGCTGAGGAAGAGAGTAGATTGCTTGTTAGTTTCTTTGTTTTTTGAGACAGGGTCTTTCTGTGTTTCAGGTTGGCCTTGAGCTCACCATATAGCTCAGGGTGACCCAAAACTCACAGAGATCTTCCTGCTTCAGCCTCATGCCTGGCAGGAAGAGGCGGATTCCTGACGGACGCTTCCTAGCCTGCTGATTTCCTGGCCTTGCTCCGGAGGAGCTGCCTTTAGTCATGGGTAGAGTTGCTCCCTGACACGCTGCGCTCCCTGACCCTCCGTCTCTGCTGCGCGCCACTGGCTCAAGGCTCGGAGGACTTCTGTCTTCACTGCGCTGCTCCCCCAAGAGCAGCCATTCCCGGAGCCGCCAGGACTAACTCTCCACGGTAGTCCCCTCCCCAGAGTCCAGGATATGTGGCTAACTGCCCACGAAGTGCCCCACACATGCTCCTCAGGCCACTGTAAGTGAAGCTCTCTCATAACTTCTGGCTAATATGAGTGAAGAAGAGGCAACTCTTTCGTGTCACTCTGCTTGCCAGGCAGACTATGGAAATGATAGCTGGAGCTCAGGCAGCCATCTTAGGCCATGAAGTCCATAGGATGGAGAACCAAAGCTTATTTAGTACGCAAGGCTGGTCCTGCCCCGTTCGCCCCGCGAAATGTGCCTCCAGTGACGCCCAGCCCCAGGCAGTCCTCCCTGCGCTGTTCCTCTTCACACATTCCCCACAGGTGGTGTTGTATCGAGCAGACACCACAGCTTTCCTGGCCTTCTCTTGTCTGGTAGGTAAGGCCACAAAGATAGAGACAGGTATGTTACGTGTGCTTTCCATTTGGTCTTCTTTTGGCTCTGGGGACAACTCTGGGAGAGAAGCCTCTGAGGACTGCTCCCCTGGCCCTGGGAGATGGAGGTTTCTAGGGACAGAGCCATTTCCCCGGTGAGGCCAGGCGGCCCCTCCGTCTGTCCTGGCGCACAGTGCTGTCCATTCCTAGGCTGGGTCAGCGCAAGGCTGGGGCCTTGGGTGGCCTCTGATGGGGCCCCTCCTTCGTGGCTGCCCCGTGAAGTCATGGCTCTCAGGTGCTTTTCAGTGCTGCTTCTTGACAAGGTGAGTCAGGCCCCTCGTGGGGAGAGCCCCCTGCAGAAGGGAGGGCGGCTGCCTCAGGGCGCTGGACACTGTCTGAACGTACTTGGGACACATACCGGTGACATCGGGCCACGCGACCTGCAGGTTTGGGGCTCACATACGTCTCTTCTTCTTTGACTCTGTCTTTGCCTGGAGACCCAGGGCAGTGGCTTCTCCTGCAGGGCCTCAGTGTTTGGTCCAGGGAAGGAAAGCACAGTGTCCCTCAGAGGGTCATGGAGATGGGGACAGCAACAGGAACACAGGACAAGTTCAACTTGGGTGGCTTCCCGTCCTGTGCTGGGCCCCGTGTCACAACCCGCCTGGTCCACCCTGGCCTGTGTGGGGAACTCAGATGACAGCAGTGGAAGTACCGCGAGCCACAGAATACCTGAAATGACAGCTCCAAAACACAAATACTGCTCAGGTTCCGAAGGCTGGGCAGGCCAAGGCTGAGACCCAGGAGAGCTGGCATCTGGCGACTTCCCGCGCAGGCTACGCTGCTGTGTAGCTGTGTGTCACAGGGTACAGGAGTAAGCCAGTCTCCGGGGTCTCTTCCCAGGATATTGATCCCATTTTTACAGAATTAGGTATTTTATTTCATATTAAAATATTATATATACTCAACTAGATAATGTAACTGAATATTTGCTTAAGAATTAAAAGGGTTGGGAAATATCTCCAGTTGTAATCAAAGAAATATAAATGTAAATCTGCAGAAAGATAAACATTTTCCAAATAAAATTCTCAAATATTTTACCTAACAGAATACCGAAAATATTATTTCCGGTTGACAGGTTTTTTGTTTGTTTGTTTTTTCAATGCTAAGAAGCCACAATTTTGACTTTTTTGAAACAGGGTCTCACTATGTAGCCCAGGCTGGCCTTGATCTCACAGCAGCCCTCCTGCCTCAGCCTCTCAAGGGCTCGATCGCAGGTGTGTGCCACCACGCCCAACCAACAAATCTGATAAACAAATGTTCGTTTTCTAGATGAGTTTTACAGTATGGAGTATTAGCTCAGAATGATGCAGAAGTCTTAAAAACAGAGTGTAAGGGTGA